GCCTCTCACTGCCCCTGAGCCTCTGGCCTGTACCCCAGTTCTGTATGAACAAATAAATATTAAAAAAAAAATCCTAGAAGTGAAAACTGGACTGTAATCACAAATACGAAGAAAATTCTTAAATTTATAAGAGAATATGATGTGTATGTGAAATCTGCATGAAAGGACCATTTTCAAAATTAACTTGAAAATAATTAGAAAAACATGAGCATGTTAACGTTCACAGAAACCGACGTGACTATCAGTGAACTAAGTCCCTATGGACTTGCCTTTTCTAGAATGTCATGTACTTGGGGGTTGGCTTTCATTTAGGTCTTAAGGTCCTTCCTTGCTGAGTATTCCACCGTTGAACGTGCCTCGGCTTGTTCATTCCTTGGCCAGTTGGTGGGTAGTTGAGCTGTTCCTCTGGTTTGGGGCTGCTGGTGGTAGTGGTGTTAGGACAAATGTTGCTATAAATATTTGCATATAAGTCTTTGTGGACTGGTTTCTTTCTGAGGGAAATTGCAGCCTACCCCCTACCACCACCATAGCGTGGACAGAGGAAATGAGGAGATGAGGAAGATGGAGAGGCCCAACGTGGCCTAACGTGGAGAGCAGAAGGGGCTCACTGCTCAGGCACCTCCCAGCCCTCCCCACAGTCCCAGAGCCACAGGCCTGCCAGAGAGGCAGTGACCTCTCTCCCTTTGACCTGCCCTTCCCAGCTCCGCCCAGCCAGTTGCTCTGAACAAAGGGTCAGGGGCCTAGAGGAAAGCCATGTGTTTATTTCAGCTCCATGGTGCCAGGAACGCGTATGGTTGTCTGGAGTGTGCGTGTCCTGGGCTGAGCCTGCTGGGGTTATTAGTAGTCACATCAGAATGATGTCACTTCCAGTGGCTGGCTTCCAGCACATTCCATCTATCACCTTTCCTATAGCCCTCAGTGTCAGGGCCCCTCTGTGGACCCCACACAGGCAAGTGACATCTCCCACAAGAAGCAGGTGTCCCCCGCTCGGTAGCTGGGCAGCTTCAGCCAGAGAGGTTGAGCATCTGATGAGAAATAGCACAGCTTCCAGTCTCACCTCATCAAGCAAGTGCAGCAGCCTCTGTCCCAGCCAGAAATGAAGGCAGGGAGCACTTACATCCTAGAATTCTTTAAAGACCAATAAACAAGTGAATTTTACTTACGAACACCTGCTTTTATTTAGAATATTTAGCAAGTTAAAAATGTAAGCTTTAGAGAGAACTGAAGTTCTTGTTTTCAAATGACTGAAATGGTTAAATCATTAATCATACGTGAAATAACTCCTCAGGATATTAATAACCATTTCTTTAGCCATGATCTTTCCTAGTCACCAAATCTTAACTGATGAAAAATTTTAACTAGTTTTATTTTTTAATATTATTTTATTTTCCTCACCGCCATCCCTTATATCACTTTGGCCTTTCCCTCTCCTCCCTCCTAACCCCAGAGCTGTCTTGGTATTTACTGATTTTTAAAAGTGTGTCATTTTGTTGAATTTTCTGCTATGTAAATGTCATTTTTTTTATCATTCTGACTTGCCTTGCTACATACAATCCTCTCATGCTCCCTCTATTTTGTTGACGATGGCTGCATTTTACCCCTTCTTATAGCTACATCATGCTCTGTGGTGTGGACCTGTCATATCCTCTCAATCTGGCTGTGTGCTAACGCTCTGCTTCTGTGGCCAGCTGCTGCAAGTAACACGGTGTGAAAGCTACTGAATTTTATTTATTCACATGCAATGTGTTCTATAACCAGGCCTGAACGAAGAATGTTATAAAGATTCTCCTTATAACCACCCCAGTGAAGGAGTACAATCACTATACCATCTATAAGGTCGAGAAACTGAGGCAGAGAGACAGTAGGTAACTGACCCAGGGTTAAACAGCTAGGAGGCAGAGTGTCAGACATTAGCCCACTGTTTTCTGCTTCTCTTGGATCAGTTTGTTTCATTTTTCAGTCATTAATTTCAAAAGTTTTATAATTTAATTTAAAACTCACCCATGTAGGTGTGCAATTCCATTATTTCAGTAAATGTGTAGAATTGTGCAACCATTACAAGAAAACAATGTTAGAACGTTCCCCCAAAGACGATTCACTCCAAAGACTCCCAATCACTATTTGCTTTGCCCTCCAGGCAACCACCAGTCAGGTCCTTCTGGAAATTTCACATAAATAGAATCACATGCAAGTGGTCTTTGGAGACTGACTTCTATCACTTGAGTCTGACATTTCTGAGGTGGATCCACATGGCAGTGGGATCTGAACTTTGTTCCTTTTCATTCCCACCTAATATTCCATCGAGCAGCTCCCCCCCCCCCCCTCGTGTTCATCCATTCACCAGCTGGGAGGCCTTGGGGTTGTCTCACATCCTGGCTAAGCTGAATCAGGCTGCTCTGAACATCTACTTCCCTTTCCCCCGGGGTATTGCTGGCTAGTTTGTTAAGTTTATGTTCAGCTTTTTAACTGCTGAACATTTCCCCAAGGGGCGGCCGTGTGTTCTGTTCCCACGGCCAACATTTTATGGTCTGAGAGGCTGGGCTCCCATTCTGAACAACCAGCCCAGGCCTGATGGAGCCCCACAGTCTGGGTGTAACACGGCCCCTCGGGAGGCTCCCAGTCAAGATGAGCTTCTCCCTTGCTCTTGAGAACGGATGGACAAGAAGCCAGTGTTCTACTTTCTAAGGGGAAAAAAAATCACCCTTCTGGGGGAAGTCAGCAAAGTGGCTATTAAGCCAGGAGGAAAAACAGGAATAGGTGTGAAGTCAGGAGCGAGTTGTCAAAGGAAGACTCCAACCTGAGGAAGAGAAGCAAAAGGTCCCACTGCCGTAGGAGACAGGCGTGGAGGCAGCAGGAGGCAGCCCGGAGCCAGCTCCGTGGGGACCACGAGCCGTCCCAGGCTCCATCGGGACCTTCCTAGCTGCATCGTCCTCCAGAACACTAGATGGTGCCCCGGCAGCTCTGAGCCCGCTGAACCTCCATTTGGTGCCCAGGCTGCTCTTAAAAGTCATTTTTGACAAGATTTGGAGTTTCACTATGGATATGAAGTGGAGCTTTTGATTCAGAGGTTTCAACATGAACGGCACAACGGTCAGTGAGAGAACCCAGGTAGGCACGCACAGGTAGCCAACAGAAGCACCCTTCCTGCTTCCGCCTGAGGTGTCCCCTCCTCATGCAGGTGTGGAGCTGACAGGTAGGACTCCTGACAGGTAGGTGCTCACAGAGCTTGAGGGAGGACACCGGCCACGTCCCACAGACTTAGAGCTGCCCGCTCCAGCTTACTTCTCAGGATGGGGGCTGGCCAGGCCTTGAAGCCCTGCTCCAGAAGCTGCAGCTCTATCCAAGTATTACCCAAGAACAGAACCCCGTGGCTCTCCTCAGAGGCCAGGGCAGGGCAGCAGGGCCCAGGAGTCCGCTGGAATAGGGTGAGCATTAGTAACAGGTGTGTTCACCCACCCTGTCACACCCCTGGGGCCCATGTGCATGATTTCAGGCTGAGTGAAGTTGACAGAGTCCTGGCTACCCACCAAGAGCTCACCACTTCATTGTAGTGCCCAGCTTGCCTAGACAGGGGTCCCTGGTCATGAACTGGAGTGACCAGCCCACAGGAACTCCATAAGGGAACAAACAGGATGGTCGACTGCCTGCTTCATCAGAGCCCAGGGAAAGACCCTTTACGCGGCCTTGAGGGCTGGGGATGTCACAGCAGAGCTGGACTGGAACCTGGATCCTTCCATGCCCAGAGCCTACGGCTGACTCCTCCCCTGGCCCATGGTCACTGGGGGAGCGCCGAAGGTCCACTGGGTAGTTTGGAGCCATCTGAGTTGGCCCGGAGGGGGCACACCCAACTCTGGGCACGGAAAGCTCAGCCGCTCAAGGGGCTCTGTGTGGCCCCCAGGTGCTCCCGGCAGCCAGCAGCCCCGGAGCCCGGGCACACCAGGTGCCTGCGCTCCACCACAGCCACACGCCAGGGCGCGTCCATAGCTCCGGCCCCTCGTGCCCAGAATACACTCAGCTGGACAGCTGGTGAGCTGGGGCGGGCACAGACCTTCCCGCCTCAGGTATCCTGGAGACACAACAGAGCCCAACACTGGGTGTAAGTCACCACAGAGGGTGTGAGCCCTGCCAGGTGGCAGCTGGGCAGTAAGGCCTGGGGCCCTGACTGTCCATTCTGCATCTGGTGAAGTGCTGAGCCTCAGGGCCGCCCCCGGAGCACCTGGTGGCCGGCCCGGTTCAGACGCTTCCACGGAGTCGAGGGGCCCCCGCTCTGCTAAGGGGAGACCCTCTCCAGCGGCCCCCCTGTCCTGGCCATGGCGGGCGCTAGGATGGGGGTTTCCCAGAGAACCGGCTGGAGCCCTGGCTTCCTGGGAGGAAGTGTGAGGGAAGGGAGCGGGAGCGGGGCCCCGCCAGACGGTGCATCCTGTCCACATGCTCACAGGGCCTCAAAACAAACATTGCTGTTACCAATGACAACCGGTGCCTACTCTGGGACCTCCCAGCCCCGCCGCCGGCTCGCAGGTCCTCTCCACACGGCCCACTGCTTGTGCTCAGACCTGAGGCCCTTCTTCCACCTTAGCTACAAGACTCCAGGCCAAGTGGGGGGTGGGGGGAGTGCCCTGCGACCCCGGTTTCTCCTTCCCCAGCGGCTGCCAGCCTGCAGACCCCTGTGCATCGGGACCCCTGGCCCCCAGGCATGGAGCTGCACCTGAGAAGGGGCCTGCGGGGGAGTGGAGCGGGCCGAGCTGTCCACACTCTGCCGGGGGCCAGCACTGCAGGGGCACAGTGCCAGACGGCATCTAGACTGGCTTCCACTCCATCCTCTCCCCCAGGGAGATGGGGGGCCCAGAGAAGGCCCCCCAAACAGCCCAGCGGTTACTGAGCCGCTGGCCCACACAGGGCCTGGCCACGGCCCGGTGCCCCAGCTACCCAGTGGAACCCTCCCTTTGCCCTAGCCCACCCCATCAAACAGCAGCCTGGCTGGCAGAGACGTGGCGGAGCCTGGGTGCTTCAAGGGCAGCTCCACGTGAGGAAACCGCTGTTGACGACCACACCGCGCCCTGTCAGGCACGAAAAGAATGCCACCAGCAAAGGCTGGGCTGGGTCACTGGCCACCTTTATTGGAACACGGGCACCACTGATGGGCCAGCAGGGCACAGACGTGTGGCTCCAGCACCCGACTGGAAGCGCGGGTCCTCAGGAGGGCCTGGAGGGCCGGGCTGCTGAGCAGGAACCGGCAGGGAGCGGAGGGCTCCCAGGTGGCCTGGAGGGGCCCCGGGTTCCTGTGTCACATGCTGGGGGGGGGGGCGGGGAGCTGGCAGGGGCAGAGAGAACAGGGAGGGGCCCGGAGCTGGCCGGTGCCCTCGCGCCTCCTTCCAGGCCCTCCTGCAGCCCGCAGGGTGCAGCGCTGTACTGGGCAGGAGTCTGCTTCTAGTTGCAGGACAGGGATTGGGGGTGGGGGTGGGAGAGAAGTGGGCACAGGTGCTGGGCTGAGGCTGCGCAGTCAGCTCAGAGCCCTGGCAAGGGGGCCCTGGGTAAGGCAGAGAGAAGAACCACCTGTCTCCTCTCACTCTGGCACAGAGGAGGGGCCTGCCAGGGCTGGACAGCTGACCAGGGGCTGGTGAGGGCCTGGGCGGAGGAGACCAGCTCACGCGACTGTCCCACAGCACCCAGCACGGGCAGGCAGAGGGGCTCACGGCCCCCGCCAGCAGCAAGCAGCCCTTGGCTGAGGAGGGCTCCCTCGGGGCGGCTGTAACAGGCCACAATTAGGAGAGGGTCTGGGGCCCTATTCCCCAGCAAACCCCCTTCCAACGCCTCCATCAAGGAGGATGAGTCAAGGGGCAACGTGGTTATATGTCGTTAAAAACAATAGTGTTTCATTAAAAACTGGCTCTGAGTGTGCAGAATACAGCGGACAGTCTCTGCTCCAATAACATCGTCACCGAAGCGACCCTGAGCACCGCTCCCCGGGCCACCCCGGGGTGGCTAAGGCACAGGGCTCCTCCCTGAGGTGCCCACTGGGGAAGGGACGCGAGCACGGCAGCCCTGGAGGACAGGGAGGGTGCCCACACGGGACAGGTGGCACTGGAGGGCACACGGCCTCACCCGAGGGGCCTGGCCTGCAGAGCTGCTGGACGCGTGACGCTCTCTGCGCGGAGCTGCCAGGGGCCGTGGGTCCTGAGACCGGAAGCCCCAAGCACATGGCGACCAGGCCTCCCGGAGCAGCGAGGCAGACCTGGGCATGCCAGCCCTCTGTGCCCACCAGGGGAGAGCTGGGTAAGCACCCTGCTCAGGTAGCGATCGGTGGCTCAAGGACCCCGCCCCAGCCAGGCATCGCTGCTCTGCAGGCCGTCCGGGAGCTTGCAGGCCCCAGGGGCTCTGCTGCCAGAGACTCCCGAGAAGCTCGACAAAGGGAGTCCCTGCACCAGGGTCAGCTAACTCCCTTCCTGTGTTGGGGGGCGGGCAGAGCCGTGCGCACGGGTGGGCCCCAACTCCATCCCGGGGCTGGCTCCGGGTTGGCTGCGCCTCCCCATCAGTACTCCCCTCCGCATCCATGTGGCTGAGATAATTTGGGCTCCAATTCCGATGGGGACCTTGGTCTCCGCACCTTGCAGGGACCCCTGACCCCACAGGCCACGAGAAAAAGCAACGTGGCAGTACAGGGTCCTAGGATCTGGGGGCTTCCACCCTCTCACACCCCCAGAGCGAAGGTGGGGGTCAGAAGAGGCTGGGGGCTGCCTGGTCGGGCGTGTCATGGTCCCGGATGTACTGCAAGATGTCCACCTCGTCCATGGCTTGGATCTGCTGCTGCTGCTTGGCCACAGCTTTGGCGGGAGCCGCCCTGGGCGGGGGCATGGGCTTGCTGGGAAGCGCTGGCTTAGCGGCCACGGGCGGCTTGGACCTGGGCTGGGGCTTGGGCCGGAGCTGGGACTCAGACCCCAGGTTCAGAATCTGCTCCAAGTCCTCTTCAACTCTAGGAAACAGATGAGAAGCCCTGAGCACAAATTCCTGCAAAAGGAACAAGGCCCCAGGCAGCGGCACCCCCATTTGGGCACTGGGCCGGGTTTCGGCCTCCGCTCTCATCCTAGACGGCCCCAACCTGTCCCTTCCATCAGCTGAAGGGCAGGACTGTCCTCCCCTGCACCCCCCGCTCAGCAGGGCCGGAGCTCACGGCTGAGCAGCCTCCAAAGAGCCGTTTTGCAGGCGGCCCGCCTAGACACACTGGCCTCTCCAGGCGACCTTTCCTGCAAACCCTCAGGAAACAACGCGACAGTGACCAGATTCGAGGCTTCCAGTTGGACACGTTATCTTGTTTTTATCCCTAGATAGGCCTTTGGGGAGGGGGCTGAACTCCGCCAGAGGCCTGGGTGAGATGACAGCGGGGCCGGGCCTGCGTGAGAACCAGGTGTCTGGTTCAGCGCTGTGCTCTCGTGCAGGCTGCACCCCTGAGACAGAATGACAGCGTCCCTGTCTGGGCCACAGCACACTACATGGAGTGTCCCGAGGCCCGGCCTCCGCCAGGCCCAGCAGTGGGTGCGGCTGAAGCAGTGAGCTGGTCATCGGGCCCGGTGCCAGGTAGCAGGAAAGAAAGGGAAAGGCAGCCACAGCCAGCTCTCCCCTCTGCCTGCGGGGCTCTGGCCCAGCTCTCGCTGTGGGAACTCAATTCCAGCTGCCTGCAGGGCCGTGGGCGCCTGGCTCTCGTGTGCTCCCCTACCTCCGGGTCGCAGCTCTCTCTCTCTCTTGCCCTGAGGTGGGTGCTTCACCACCTGCATCTGTGCAGGTGGAGCCTGGGTGCCTGGGGCAAGCTTAGAGGGACTGGGTTGTCCATAAACGGGGTTGCTTAGGGCACTGAAGCAACGCTGAGTGTGTGCCAGGACCGGGATGTGCACTGTGTGGTGAGGCGTGGCTCACGGAGAACCTCAGAGCTGGGTCTGCCCTGAGATGGGAGGTGGGGACCAGCCAGGTAGGGGCAGTGGTGCCACATGACACCCTGCCCAAGTACCCTGCTTTAATGGGGTCCTAAGTTGCAGCAAGGTATTCCCACCAGTGCAAAGTCTACTTCCTCTTTCTTGCAGGCCTCGCTGGTGTGAGCTCAGCCACTGAGAGCCTGGACAGAGCCTGAAGCCTTCAGCCCAGCTCTTCCTCCCGGGTTCCTGTGGAGGACGGGGCTGGCTCAGGACTAAATCTGGAGGCGCCCTAACAGGCACCCCCCTCCTCGCCCCCCCGGCCTGGGAGGGCTGATGGGTGAAAGGGACTGGGAAGCAGCAGGGACTGGATGCAGGGGCGAATGAGCGAATGACTACGAGGGCCATTTCACTGCAGAAGCCCAGTTGCGTGGAGTGGAAAGGAAGCCTGGAGACAGAGCAGACGTGAGGGGGAATCGAGTATGGTCCTGCTCGCAAGAAGCCACCTCCTTCCCTGGTCAGTGCCTCCCCAAGGAAGGCTCTGGGGCCAGGTGGCGGAGAAACCTTGCCTGGCGGTCTCCCAGAGCGCGAGCCACGTCAGCCGGCCGGCAGACTGAAAGCTGGCAGGGTCCGGTACAGAGCCCGCTCGAAGGCCGCACCTTCGCACACCCCGTTCTGTAGACATGGCCGGAGAGTGCCGGCTGATGGACCCCCTGGAACTGCCCCACTGGGACTGGGTCCAGGAGCCACGGAGGCCCTTGGCCGGGGGACATTCTCACAGGGGCTGCCTCCAGCGTTCGCTTCCCTGGGCCTCAGTTTCCCACTAATGCCAGGACAATAATGCCAGCTTCCCCCAGCCTGCCAGGATGCCCCGCACTAGGGTGCGGGGAGGGAGTGAGTAGGTGCCGGGGCCTCGGGAGATGTAAACCAGGAATTGCGGCTGCGACTGGGCCGGAGCAGGGCTGGGGCCGGTGGCTGCGGGGCGTGTGCAGAGGGCGGCCTGGGAGCCCAGCCCTGGCGCCACCTCTGTCCGGGGAGACAGCTCAGCTTCCTGCAGATGGCACGTGTGCAGCTGCCCCCAGGACTGGGGTGGGGGCGAGGCGGACACAGACAGCGCCAAGCAGCACAGGAGGGCGGCGCATGGGCGGCCCCCCGCCAGGGAGGTAAATGCACCTGCTATGCGAGGATTCTAGACGTCTGAGGAGCCCAGCGTGCTCGGCCCCAGGCCGGCTCTCCAAGGCCTGGCCAGTGGCTCATCTGAGTCCATCGGCAGAGCCAGCCCGCAGGTCGAGGCAGCTGCGTGCTACAGGAGTCTTTCGTTTGTTCCCAAGCCTGGTGATGCCAGTGACACTGGCTTTTGCAGCCATGACTTCTACCTTTCCTCAGCTACCAGAGGGCAAGTGTGAAAGGGACAGACTTACGGGCGTGCAGCACCCTCGGCTGGCCCCTGCGGGCTGCTCGGGGCCGCTGGCTCCACGGCCACCCTGAATGGCCGCCCCCTGGCAGCTCCCACCCACGGCCCCGGCCGCTGATGGCAGGACGCCCCTGCCCAAAAGGCCCCACTGGGACGGTGCCTGGCCCTGCCAGGCCACTCCCAGCTGGCGAAGACTGCGGGGGGAGGGGGTACCTGAGCAGCTCCCCGGCAGTGTCCCTGCGGTCCAGGAGGGAGGAGGGCCGTCCACCCTCTGGGGTCGCTGGCAGCAGCAGGGGGTCACCCAGGAGGACGGCCCCACCGAGGTCAGGATCATCAAACAACTTCAGGGCTGCAGAGAAGGGGGCAGCAGAGTGGTCAGGGGCGTCCTGCCCGTGTCAGCTGCCGAGTGTGTGGGGACCGACCGGCCGGGCCGCGAGAGTGGGCGGGGGCCCAGCCGGAGGCAGGGGAGCTGGAGGAGCGGCAGTGGGAGGATGGCAGGGACTGGCGCCATCGGCTGGGCACGCCGCCCACGCCCCGTAGTGCGAGACCAGGGGCCGAGGGCTCTACTCCCGGGTCAGTCCTTGCTCCTCCCCTGCTGGAGGCGGAAACGGCCCCTGCAGCTCCTGTGCCAGGCTCCGCACGCCCCGGGCACCGTATCCCTAGCTCAGCCTCGGGTCTCTCAGCAAGCACTGACCAAGGGCCACCACCAGCCTGGCGCTGCCGCCTGCCACGCTGCAGAGGTGAGCGGACACTGGAGGCGTGGCAGGGAGCCTGGGCTACTCCCCACCCTCTCCGGAGAACTGTGCCCACCCGGCCCCACCCCCGGAAGTCTCCCCTGTTGCCTGACGTTCCCCAGGGTCCCTTCCAGACTCAGGCTGTCCCCCCGCTGTCCCCCACTGTCCCGTGGCCTGGCCTCCTGGGAGGCCTGGGGCCGGGACTGTCTCCATGAGCCGTGGGCCCGGCACGTGTGGCCTGCAGGGAGCCCAGCCCCGGGTGGTGCTCACCAAATGGTGGTGGAATAAGGGGTGACAGCAGTGCCCTACCGGGGGTGAGGGAAGCTGAGGCCCCAGGCGAGGCCGCTCACTCTCCCTTCCAGCTCTGCACCGGGCCCTCTGCCAGGGCCGACGGAGCCTGGCTCAGCCCAACCCCACAGGTCACAGTCGCGCAGGCCAGCGGCGCCACCTGCGCCCGCCTCCGCTGCAGCCGTAGCACGCGCACGTCCGCACCAGTCACACCCCACACTTCTCAAAGCAAAAAGGAAACCGCTCTCCTCTGCAGGGCCTGGCTAGAATAAACACACAGCCCGGACTGTGCCAGGCTGCGGGGCACAGGTGCAGACGGGCCTTCCCCAGCTGAAAATTTCCACCAGCCAAACCCGGATGACTTGAAGCAGACGAAGGGCAGAATCCCAGTCTGCTCACCTGGGGCGAGGGGGGCCAAGACCCACAGAGGTCAGCGATCACCAGGCTGAACACTGAGATGGGGCAACGGACATCCGGGGCGCTACTTACAGTCCCCCGCAGGGCCCTGGGGGGCCAGCTTCCTGCTCGGGCCAAACAGGGCCTCGTCCGGGTCCTCCTCTTCATCAAAGATGGTGAGCCGGGGTGAGGGCTTGGCCTTCGGGGCCGCTTCGGGGAGTTTCTTGGGCTTCTTGGAGCTGGAGGGTTGCAGATGAAGTGCAGGGTTAGACTCCTCACGAGCGCCCCATGGGCGGGCCCAGGAGATCCACGGAGGCCCGGAGCGGGCAGGAGCCTGTGCTGAGAAGGACCCACTTTCCCCCACAAGCCCCCCCCCCAGAGTGGTATAGCCTCACGGTTCTGGAGAACATTTCCATTCCTCTCTGGGAAGCCCCTCTGGCAGGAGAGCCCCAGCAGCCCCAGGGCCGCTGTCTCATTCCCGCCAGGCAGAGGTCTGCTGGCCTCACTGCCACAGGAAACCAGGAGGGGGCAGTTTCTCGGGCACCTTGTTTCCTGGTTCTGGGGCGCACACACTAACACCCTGGAGCTGGGGGGGCAGACCCGCCCCCGCCCTGGAAGGTCTTCCACCTGTCGGTGAATGAGCACACTTGGCTGTGACCACAAGGTGATCCAGGGCCGACCGTGGTGCCTAACTTAGTCATTTTCAGGTTCCTGAAATAAGAAGTTTGCATTTTACTGGCAAGGGACTTCCGCTGTGCCGGGATTTTCTGCCGGGGGGCAGTTCCACTGGAACCGGCCCACTGGGCTGCGGGAAGCCGTGCCCAGCCGTGCCCAGGAGGCGGGTGCTGCTCACACTGCCTGACCAGCAGCCGATAAAAATAGCGGCGGACGGCCCTGGGGGACGGAGGCAGGACTCGCAGAGGGGACCGTTCCCACGGCCTGATTTGGAAGCCCGGTGGGAGCTCAGGCTTGGTGTGGAGATGGGAGGAAGCTGTGAGACCCTGGGCGCACCCCGGGGAAGGAGCGTGAACGCCGCACCCAGGAGCCCTGGGGGGACCTCTGTGGGAGGAGCAGGGGGTGGAGTGGTACAGGCAGGGGGCGGTGGAGGTGGCTAGAACCCAAGGCCGGCCACAGTCCGCGCCCTCGGCCCTCACGATGTCTTGAGCTGGCAGAGCCAGGATGGCCTGGGGACGGGGCTCGGAAGGAGGAGACACATCCCAGAGGTGGAGGGGACAGCAGAGACTCCGCGCGGGCGCGGGGCCAGGTCGCCTCACGCCCGTGCCCTCTCCATCCTGGCACCAGCGGGTGGCCTCACAGGCCACCTGGGCTGTGCGTCCACTGTGGCACCACCCAGGTCCTGCCTGTGGTGCTGGCCAAGGGGAAAGGGCGTGGATTCCATCCTAACGGCAGAGGCATTCCAGAAACTTCAGTTACGCCTCTGCCCACTGGTGGAGGGGACAGGGTGGCCTGCTCGTACTGGACCCGTCCCCCTCTGCTTCCCTGAGCAGCCAGCCAGTGGGCTCAAAGGACCCCGGGGAGTGGGCACCAAAGCCAGGCCAGGCCAGGACTCTGGTTGCAGGCAGTGGAAACCGACCCCGCCACTAGCACCCGAGTCACAGTCAGGGCGGGGAGCGAGGGGAGAAGGGTGGGGAGACACCGCCCAGGGCCTGTGGGCTGTGTCCCCCCTGCCCTCAGTCACTCGTGGCAGCCACGCTCCTGCCTCGGGCAGGACAGGCAGGGGCCGCAGCATGCAGGGCGGAGAGCCCCACCCACGCCGCCCGGGTGGACAGGGAGCGCAGGCACAGGCCATGCTGTCCGCAGCAACAGTGGACCTGAGACCGCTCCTGGGCCAGCGGCTGCCCAGGCCAGAAGCCAGAGCGAGCAGAGCACAGCGGCTGCGGAACTGAGCGCAAGAGCAGGGCACAGACGACGATCTCCGGAGGAGACAGAGTTCAAAGGTCTCTCCCACACCTAGCTCTGTCCCGAGAGCACAAAGCAGGCCTGGCTTTCCTTGCGGGGTTTCCTCTCAGACTGGATGAGTGTTCTTGTTTTTCCTCCCTGGAGAACATTCAGACCTTGTATCGTCTTGAACTGAAATGAAGCGAATCTGTGGCCATGGGGCTGCAAAACTCTGGGAGTCAGAGGTGTGCCTGGCCCAGCGCAGATGGTCACGAATATCAAGTTAAAGGATGGGTGGGTGGGTGGATGGGTAAGGAAAGGGGCAGGAAGGGCAGATGGATGCACAGATGCGCAGCACATTATCATTACTTACATCACAAGTCATCTTAAACGCAGACTTATTTCTACGAAGGCCCCAGGAAGCGGGGAGAGGGAGGGGAGAGAGAGGGGTCTCCAACATCAGTCTGAAACAGACCCACATGTAGAAATCTCCCCAATCCTACCGTTCCTCCTCCAAAGATCTCAGTCTACTCAAGGGGCCTTTCCACCCCTCACCCCTTATTCTGGAAGCAACTCATTCGTTTACTCCGCATTCTTCCCGAACCCCAAACTCACCCAGCCCTCCCACATGCCTGCTGTGCCGAGTGGTGAGGCGCAGAGGAGAGGTGGGCCCGCCTCTGTGCCCATCTCATGGCCCAGGAGTCGCAGACACCGTCAGCGCCACACAGGCAGCTGGCGCAGGGGAAGCCGCCCGCTGAGGGGCTTCCGTGGGAGGTGGGCGGCAGCCTCTGTGCAGGCAATGTCTCAGGGAGGGGCCGAGACCCTCATCTTTGAGGGCCTGCAGGGGCTTGGGGTCCAGCTGACTCTGGATGACGAGGACCCCTCAGCACAGGCAGCACAGGGTACAGGGAGCTGGGTCCCCCCACTTTGCTCATGGCCCGCAGGTGAATGAAAGGGCCCGGGCAGGGGCAGACTGGAGGGAGGACGCCGGCGCAAAGGGCTCACACAGCCGGGCGGCTGCAGGGGCCGCAGGGGTCTGCGGCACCCCGTGCATTCCTGACTCGGGCTTGCGCGAGGAGGGTCAGAGCCCGGCATGGACTCTGCTGCCCACACGGGCTGTAGTCCCCCAGCCCCTCCCCTCTGCCCACCTGCTGTCCACAGGACGCCCTGGACTCAGGCCCTGTCCATGGGGGAGCCCTTCCCGACATGGGGCGGCCCCCTCTCTTCCTTCTAGGGGTGCGGTGCTGGGACCGCGCACCTGCCCCCGAGCTGGGACGAGTGGGCCTCAGAGACGGCGTCCCGGGGCGGGCAGGGTCCCAGCGGCACGGCTGGGGCGGGGCGGGTCACCCTGGGCCCCGAGGCGCGGAAGCACGACCCCACAGATGATCCCGCAGACGTGCCTTCCCACTGGGAGTCTGTCCCGAGACAGCCGCCGGCCGGGCCTCTGCGGGCAGACAGCGGCGGTGAGGTGCCGACGCCCTGTGCTCAGGGCCCCGAGACAGTGACTGCATGTGAGCGCAGCTTCCTTCTGGACACCACGGCCGTGTCCAGGCTCCCGGACGCGGGGCGATCACCCATGCACAGCACCAGCCCAGCGTCCGCAGAGGCAGCCCTGGACTCAGCAGGACGGTGGCGCCTCTGAAGACGAGACTCAGGCTCACGCGACCTCCATCCACCCTCGGGGGCAGGGTGACTCCCAGCAGACAGGGACAGCGACCTCCTTTCCGGTCAGGTGAGCTCCTGCTTTAAAGTAAAGAGCTGCCCGTTGCCCCCAGGGCTGCGGGGCCCAGCACAGAGACGCCTTCAGGGGGCCTGGGGGGGGCTGCTGAGCACCCACAAAGGATGGACCCCAGTGGAGAAAGTGCCGAGGCAGGAGAGTCTGGCATCGACTGACCGGAAAGGGCCCAGCTGGGAGGATCCCAAAAGGAAGTTGGGGCGCATCCCCAGGGGCTAGGGCATCACGGCCCTCTTCGACCCAAGGGGTGCAGGACAGCTTCGCTTCCCTGAATCTGCCTCCTCGTCTGTTGAAGTGGAGTCAGGAGGCAAGGCCGCCCCAACACTCTGGGCTCACCAAGCACAGAGGGGCTGGGGGTGGGGGGCGCGTGTCACCTCGAGGCAGAGGTCTGTCACCACAAGCCACTCGGTGGTGTCCGGGCGCACCCTCTCTTTTGACCCAACCCACTTCATTCTGGGCCCTAAAAGGGAACGGAGGCCTGTTGGGTAGACGCCCGCCACGCCTGTGGCCCGGCGCCACGTCGAGGCCTGTCTCTCAGCGCAGTCTGACTGCCCAGCCCGCTGTGTCCGCCACCAGGCACCAGGACCTCAGCGACCCCTCCCCTCTCAGGGACGATGTCTCTTCACCTCTGCACAGGGGCCAAGAGCTGCCTGCCCTCTGCACGATGCCAGCGGCACCCCAGTCCAGGGAAAACACCTGGAGACGCCCACGTAACCCTGGAGACTGCGCGCAAGGGCGTGGCCAGACCAGAAGTGAACCCAGCCGGCCCTGAGGCCTGCAGCAGCCAGCCCCCAGGCAGGGCCACTCCTCGGCCTGCCCGTAGCTTCCCAACGACCCTGCGGCCCTCAGAGCAGCACAGCCAGAGGAAGCCAAATGTGCTCCCCAGCCAATCTCGGGGCCACGGGATGCCATGCTTCCAGCTAGCGGGCTCTAGCTCTGGTCGGGGCACCGCAAGTCTTCCCTTTTCCACCGGAAGCCTTCCAGCTCCCTGAACTGCCTTCTGAGTCTTCTCCAAATGCAGGTCATGGCAGCTGCCCCCCATCACCAAGTCCTTTGCTGTTCTCAGTTGGGTGACTTTTGTGGTTTTCAGTCGGGTGCTGAGGTGCTAAGAAGCTCACCCTGTGCCCCTGGCTGCCAAGGGGCAGAGCCCAGGCCTGCTGGCCGGCCTCTAGCCCCCGCAGGGTGGGCCGTTCTCGGGCTGTCCCAGAGGCTTTCAGACTATGCTCTAGAGCCTGACCTTCCGCAAAGCTGCCCAGGTCACGCGCGGTGGGCTCTGAGGGCTCGAGAGCCTGCACCCACCACGTCAGCTCTCCTTTGGTCTGCTTTACATGTCAGGGCTTGAGATGAGAACTCCCGTGAACCAGATTCTGCTGCTGATTTTAAAAAGTGGGAAACAGGAAAAAGGTCGGTCCTGGCCCTCCCTGGTGGCGCAGCGGGTTACGCACAGCACTGAGAAGCCAAAGCCACTTCCGCATGAGTTCGATCCCCACCCCGAAGGTGACCCACATGGCGCAGCAGACCTCTCCTGACCCGCCCGCTGCTCCCCTCAGCAGGGGACTTCAACAATCTGCTGTTCTGCTCCCCACTCTGTCTCTGGTGAATCCTCTCACTGCCCTGCACCTCTGGCCTATAGGCCAGTTCTGTGTGCACAAATAAATCTTAACTGCGCCCGTGGAGTAGCTCCACGCAAGCAGGGGCCTGGCAATGCCAGCTGCCGTTACCCACCTGACAGGCCAGCGCAGAGTGAGAAGTAGACACCTGTTAACAGTCGGGAAAGGCCCAGAGTATAAGCTCCAAGAGGCAAGGTATGGATGGAATGGCGTGTGGTGAAGCCTCCGGCGGGTGGAAAGTATGAGTATCCAAAAGCACATATGGCAAGGGAACTTGTCAGTTTTCAGTTTTTCTACACCCATCGCCTACTATCAGGATCAAACATCAATTAAATTGAAAATGTTTCCAGTGGAAGGCAGGACTATTATGGCAGCACTTCACCTTGCTCGGAACTCTGAAGTCTCTGAGACAGACGGCTAAGCACGAAAGCTGTGGAGGGCCAGCAAGGCCAGGCGGAGAGCAGGGGGCAGAAACAGCCACGAGGGCAAAGCCGCCGTGGGCCCCTGGGCCGGTGGGGCGCAGCAGGAACGCGGCCAGCAGCGGGCCAGCAGCGGGCGGCAGTGTCAGGAAGGCCGGCGTGGGCCATTTCTGCCTCTGCTGCTCGCTGCAGCGCCCTGGCTCGACCCTAATCAAAACCAGGTTTAAAAGACAAAGAAAAGCCCCGCCAGCCGCAGCTCCCGGCTTTGTGCGGCTGCAGCCAGCCTCCAGGCGCCCTGCATGGGGCAGCAGCGCCCCGCCGTGGCCGCGGCGGGAAGCACTGGCCCCTGGAAGGCGGGTGGCCAGAGACGGCCAGAGGCTGTGGGGGGAGGGGTGCAGGGCACCTCCGGGCAAACAGGGCTGTGGCCACCTCAGCAGAGGAACGGAGGGCACAGCTCGGAGAAACACGTGTGCACGACGCACGCACCTGCAGAGACCAGGTCGTTCCCAGCACCGGGCGCAGCGGGCAGCTATGCACCAGGCGTCAACAGCCGTCCCCCGCGCCCCCCCACCCATGTCTCAGGAGGGTTCCAGGCCCACCTGCGCCACACCCGGCTCAGTTTCCCCACCTGTGGAAGGGGGACATCCTCGGGTCCTGTCCACCTCCCAGCCTGGCGTAGGGGAGAGTGCCCCGGACAGACGTGGCAGGGAGCGCGCTGAACCCTCCAATCTCAGCCCCTCTTGTGCTAAAGGGCTCGGGGTGGGGGGTGGGGGGTGGGGGGACAGCGCCCTGGGACACCATCTCCTCCCTCAGACCCACAGTGGATCCTGAAAGCAATTTGGTGGGTCAGGACCTTCCCTCCCCACTCCCCACTCTCGAAAGTACAGAACAGAAAATAGCAGAGTAGAATGCACACACACTAATCAGTTCCTGACATTCAATAGTCTCAAAGTGCTTCCTGACGGGGGAGACAGCCCTACTGTCGCGCTGGCCACTAGGGGAAACTGGCAGGTCTTAGCCTCTGCCGGCCATCTGAGGTGCTGAGCTCTCCTGGGGTTTGGAAACGGCGGCGGGACGGGGCTGCAGTGCGGGTTGTTGGCCCGGGCTAGCTGGCTGTCCCTCCAGTGTACTCCTGGTATCAGGCAGAAAGTCAAAGCAGCCCTTGCCAATCCCAAAGAGCATTTTCCTACCCAAAAAAGGAGCCGCCCCGCTAAGCAGCCAAAGGCTGGCGCAAACCAGCACGTCCAGCTCCGGCGGCACCGCTCAGGCAGCCTGAGTTACTCAGAACAACGGGGACTGTGAGGCCAAGCAACCTTCGTCCTGACCAAAACACCGCCAAGGAGGCCCGCAGGGCTGCGTGGGGCCGGCAGGGACCAGCTCCGGCAACCTTCTCCCCCCTTAACCGCCCTCTGGCCACTGACCCCTTCCAGGACGCGGGTGGGGGGCGAGGGGCGCTGGAGCGCCAGGGGCTGGCTCAGGGCACCAAGGTGCTGCGGGCTCAGGCTCCCGTCCGGCCTCCAGCGCACGCGGGCCCTTCCTGGCTGCTCGTCGCGTCCAGGTGGGGCTCAGGACCTCCCTGCCCACGCAGCCTGCCCTCACACGCCCACCTGCGAGGAAGGCTGGCAGGCGGCCATGCTCTGGGGCGGAACCTCACGGTGTCTTTGTTGAACCTGCCCTTCCCCGACTCTCAGCCAGCTCTGGTTCCTTTCTGGAACGGGGCTGTGCGGCAGGCCTCCCTTGTTTGTTGACTGAAGCCCGTGTCCTGGCTCTGTGCTGGGTCTGCACAGGTTGGGAATGCTAAGGGGAGCTCATCTTCCTAGTGCTGGCCCCAACCCCAACAGACAGACCCTACCGTTACCCTGTTTTTGTTGCAGAAAGCTGAAGGAAAAGGCACATTTCCAGGCGCCCATGGCCGGTAGAGGTCAAAGCCAGGCCAGACTGCCTGGCCCCACAGTCCAGGACCCTGAGCCAGAATGCGCCTGGCTCTGCGGGCTTCACTTTTCTTGCTCTGCGTAATGGGATCATAATAGCAGCCTATAGAGCAGGTGTGCACAATACACCCAGAATTAGTTCCCTCCTGGCCTGCAGGGTGAAAGCAGGCAGCCCTGGGTGGGGGGAGGGAGGGTGCCTGAGTCACTTGCCAATTATTTTGAAATGGAAGAAACTGAGAGAGAAGATCTGAGCATGTGCTTTTCTGCAGAGTCAGCCTTCTCACCCAGACGGGGCTTGCAAGGCCTTGGTCCGTGCAGCGGCAATGCGCCCTGCGAGCCTCCTGCTTCTTCAGTTGCAGCACTTCGGCTGCTGCACCCCCACCTCCACCCCCCACTGCACGCACAGCCCCTCCTAGAGACCACGCAGCCCCCCTGGGACCACAGACCCCAGGCTCTGTTACTTAGGAGATTTTCTCTCGCATCTGTTTAACTATTGTCTGGCCTCTGGACCTAGAAGGGCAGAGGAAAGTTAGCTTCCGCCGCAGCGCCCATCTGCAATGGGCAGCAGCAGTGAGGGCTGGGGGTGGCCTGGGTGGGGGTCCCACAGGCCCCTCAGCCCGTGCCCAGCTCAGGGCCTTGGCAGCCGTGCGGTCGGCAAGTCTCCTCCCCAGACAGACTGTTGGCGCAGGGGCGGTCAGGATCCCCTGAGGGCAGAGGATCAGGAACGGAGAGGAACGAGGTGGCAGAAAGGGCACCCAAAGGGACCGAGGCCACACCTCGGCTGTGGCACAGCTAGCTGCGTGTGCAGGCGTGCGCCCGTGCGGGAAGGAACCCATTGGGGCCAGGGCTCGCTTTGCCTCTCAGGATCATGCCCAGTGTGACTTCATGGGCCCCCAGTCCTTTCCTTCCATGCAACGTCCAGATGCCCCACATCTGCCTTGCGAGGGAGGCCACGGAATCCCTGCTTTTCTGACCGGGACGGGAGCGGGAGCTCCAGTCACCGTTCTGAGTCAAAGGCTGGCAGAGGTGCAAAGGTCGGCGGGGCGGGTTCAGGTGGCCTGGGCTGCCGGGCTGCAGGGAGAGGGGTGCAGCCTGCAAGGTCTCTGTGAACAGCGGGGGACGGCGGGACGCGCCCAGCCCTGAAGACATGGGCGACGTTGCGGATGAGCACATCAGTGCCCCCCACGCCAGGCCACGGCCGAGGACCCGGGAGAGGGGGCTCTAGAACCCTGGAAGGCGCAAGGAGCTAGCTCCACAGAGCCTGGGAGAAGCCCGCAGGGGCCTCCCAGGGTGGGGAGACCTACCGCATGATGCCCAGCGGGTCCAGCGCTTCCTCCTCGTCCTCCTCCTGCTCCGCCGACTGCCCCGCCTCATCCATCTTCAGGCCCAGGATGGGGGGGCCCTCACCCGGCCGTTGGTCCTGCTGCTCGAAGAAGCTGAAAGCCTCCCCATCGTCCCCTGCCTGGCTGTCTGCATCCAGGACAGAGAAATCTCTGCTGATGAGATCTGCAGCCCCCGAGGATCTGGTGCCTGTGGAGACAGGAGAGAGGCCCTGACACCCCTGCCGGGGCTGGGAGGTGCCACACCACGCTCCGTGCCAGGACCTGAGGCTTCCTGCAGCATCCCGGGCAGGACGGCGGGTCTGGGTAAGTGGGGGTGTCCAGGGCTCCAAGTCCTGCTGCAGCCCCCGAGGGCTGAGGCCCAAGGTGGGGAGTTACAGTGGGAGCTTCAGAGCAAGACAAGGTTGTGCTTCCTGAAGGCCTGTGTCCCAGGCCTCGGGCGGCTCAGGAGCCAGCACCACACGGAACGACGCTCCCCAAGACGTCCTGCAGTTGTGGGACACAGCAGGGAGCTGCGACAATCTAATCAGGGGTGGAGACTGCTCTGAGGTTCAGGGCAATTGGACCACGACTTCCTGAGTGCAGTGAGCACATGGAAGGTTCCAGAACAAAACGTGATGGCTTCATTACAGACTGGCTTCTTGTATCAGCACTTCTCAAAATGTGGCTCCCAGATGAGTGTTCAAAATGAGGTAAGTAGAGAAAGAGCGAACAAGCATCCAGAAGCCTCCACAGCAGCGTGCCGTAGCTCACACCCAAGCCCGTGAGAGAAGCCATCGATGGCAGAATGCGAATCAACACTTCGTCTGTCCCATGGTGGCTCGAGAAGCAAGGGTTAGACTACTCGTTCACCTCCTCCAAAGAGCAGCCGAGTAGCGCATCTCTGAGTGCAGCCACAAAAAGATTCTCACCCTAGAGTTGAAAAACTTAGTATCCGGCACACTGCAAGTGTGGTTCTCAGACCCTGATATGTAAATCGAGGCAATAATGGTTATATTGCATTGTATTACGTTTCGTTACTTTATAAGGACAAATGAGAAAACGCCCTTTGACTCCCCAGGAACCTTCAGTTTCAGGTAGCAAGCACTGCACAGGTGCGTTCCCGTGACGGGCCTTACTGCGTCTCTCCACTTTACAGAGAAGCCAGGAAAGTCAGCTCATCCGCGCTTGGTCTCCATAACAGGGTGTGGGGAGACTGGGAGAGTCTTCCTGTAACGGGCGGGCGGCCCTCGCCCATCTGCACAGCCCCCAAGAGGAGAGGAGTTGGCTGGGGTGCCTGGCGAGTGAGGGGCAGGGGAGTCCTCCAGGCCTCTGGTCTACAGACCCCACCTGAGCAGTCACCTGCTTTGCTTTTTTCTCCAATCTCACTTCAAAAACACTGGCCTATCCGCGATGAGTTTCCTTCGGGGAGATTCCCACGCACGCGGTGGGGCCAGGAGATCTCAGCATCAGAAGAGTTGAGCCAAGCGATTCCACGCGGGAGGTCACGGGGGAGTCAAGCACCGCTGGTGGGGCCGCTCCCCACCGTGGGGTCACCCTGAGTGCGTGAGGGTGCAGAGTGGGGGTGAGCTTGAGGACCGGCCCTTGGGCACCGCTGTGCGCCCGGCTCTGTGCCGGACGCCTCTGTGCCAGCTCGCGCCCCCCACGGCCCGCTGGAGCCGGGCGATGAGACAACAGGAAGAGAGGACAGGAGACCTTGGCCACACAGGCGGCAAGCGTTCAAGGTCTCCCAAGGGCAGTGGGGCGGCTCTGCTGGGGGTGCAGGCTGGTGCCCCCAGGGCAGGGCATCGGGCTGGCTGCGGGGCAGTTTTTTCCGCTACTGTAGTGCCTGTGTCTGGCTGGTGGGAGGCGAGGGAGGGGTGTGGGTACGGGGTATGGGAGCTGCAGGGGCGGGGGGGGCAGGAGGCGCATGGCAGGGAGAGACACAGAGAAGGACCTAGCGGAGCCTCGTCTGCAGCTACCTCAGTCCTCGAGAACGGGCGGGGAGCCCCTCAGGGCCAGGCACGGCCACACTCGGGCCGAGGCTTCCGGGCTCAGGGGCAGCTGGAGCCACTGCAGCCAAGCCAGGGCGGCGAGGACCGGGTCACCTCGGGGCTGGGGGCAGAGCCTCAGGTACCTAAGAATTCTAGCAGCTCTCGGCTGCCCACCAGCCCCGCGTCCTGGGACACACAGCGCAGGATCTCATTGAACACGGCCTTTCTCTCCTGGATGTCAGACTCCCCGACAAACAGCACCTTCCTGGGGAGCGGGGGCAGGCTGGCCCCCGGGTAGCGACTGGTCAGTTTCTGGTAGAAGTCCTCAATCTCGCTGTACTTTTTGGAGACCTGGCAGGAGAGGAGACGTGGTTTCCTGAGTGAGGAGCGAGAAGCGCCTCTCACTCTGACCAGGGTCCCGGAGGGCAGGCGACCCCGAGAGGCCTTGGGGGAACCCTCGGCCCAGCTCCCACCTCGGGTTCCACTCCTCACCCTCCTGGTCGGTGCCAGCTGAATCACCAGTCTCAGGGGCCCAAGGGAGGATGAGGTGGTGGTGGATTCTGGGCACCACCAGACCAGGTAGACTTTGATGCTGGACCTGGCCTCACCTGCAGGTGACTGCCGCTGCTGCCTCTACTCTGGGCTCTGAGCACACGAGCTGGTGACCTTGCAGCCTGGCACCCACTAGAAGCTACACCTGTCACCTTTCCCCAGCCAGGGCCTCTGGGTCATCACCTGTAAGCAGCCTGCTGGCGGCCCAGACTGCACTGGGCCCAGGTGGTGAACAGCCAGGCCGTGCCAAGCTGGCTTCTCAGCCTGCCAGCAGCCAGCACCCCTCTGTGCTCCAGCACCCCTCTGTGCTCCGGCACCCCTCTGCGCTCCAGCACCTCAGGAAGCAGGCCCCAGGCGGTCTACAGGCCGAAGAGCTCTCACTCAAGCTCTTCCTGTGTTTAGTCTGGGTGGGGCCCCAGCACGGCCTGCCCCAAGGCTCGGCCTCCCCTGGGGGGCAGCCATCATAGAGCAGCTAAGCCCCGCCACCCCGTCTGTGTAGCCTAAGAAACCACCCACGCTGTTCCCCACACCCAACGCCTGGCACCCCTGTGCTCTCCCTGAATGCTGGGCTTGTCTCCTCAACTCCTCCAAGAGCACACTGGGGGAGGACTCAGCTGTGTGCACCCCAGCAGCAGGCCCTGCCACCCTGGACTTGCCATGCGGCTGATGCCTGGTGATGGAGGCACCTGAGGTCAGGTGCGGGAGACCTGCCACCCTGTGCACAGCTGTGAGGGCCACCTAGCCCTGGCTTCCAGCATTGTCACCAGAGCCCCTGGCCGGTGAGGGGTCCAGCCGCCCGGAGGTCACTGGGGCACTGTGACCTGAGCCACACCCCCCTCCCCCCGCCCCCTGGGATGGGCAGCCTGCTGCTACTGACATGAGACTGGCTCGCTGGAGCTTTCCCAAGAACAGCCTCACAGCCAGAGCTGACGGCCAGCTATCTTTCACCCAAGATGATGAGGCGCCAATCCCCAGGCCCTAAGCCCAGAGACTTGGACTGGACTTGGGACTCCAGCCAGGCTGGACCTGCCTCTGGAAGCCTGAGGCTAGCAGGTCAGGCGGGGGGCGGAGCACCCTCTGCTGGCCAGACTAGTCCATGCAGGCCTGGCCTACAGACCCACCGGAACTGGGGTGCTGGAAGCGGCAGGTGCCTGATGGGGCCAGGAGCTTTCAGTCAGGGCGCCTCCCACAGGCCTGTGGACACGCCCACCCCAAAGCAAGGACCTTCCAGGCAGTGACTTGTGCAGCCACAAGAGGCTAAGAGAGGCCCTGGGTGCCCAGGTGGGAACTCCCACCTACTGGGTGTCCCCTCAGGCAGAGACCACCTATCGCCCCATGTCCCTTGACGTCAGAGTGCGGCTGATGGCCAGCACGCATGATGGCCAGCGCGCATGGCTAACAGCGCCCGTCCTGAGCTGGCTTTGCCCCAGGCAGGTCCACAGGAGACACGTATTATGGCTTCGCAAGAGAACACAAGGTGCTCGGCGATCGTGAAATTTCAGTTTCAGGCTGTGACGGCACCCAGATCTCAGGGGCAGCAAATGAGTTCTCCTGAGAAGACCCCTCCGGTGGGCACCCACGCACGGCCCCCACCCCGGGAGCGGCACTGGTCAGGAATGCGTGGTGCTGAGGGGGGCGCAGTGGGAGGGGACTCCTGTGCCTCCAGGGCTCCCCAAGGATCCAGCAGATCACCAGGAACTGCAAAGGACCCAGAGCAGGGCAGGGCCAGCTGGTGCTGGCCCCGCCCCGTGGCCACAGAGCCCCTCCCCCTCGTCCCTCGGCTCTTCCAGCGGCCTCGGACTCCTCCGTGTCCCTCCCTCCCTCCTTGTCCTTTCTCAGGCATCTTCACCCACTCCTGCACTTCCAACCTCCAAGCTGCTGCCTCCCAAACCACCTTTTAGGCCAGATCCTGCCCTGCTCCAGCCTGTGGCCACGGGCAGACCCCTGCTCCGCGTCCCCTCCTGCCACCGGGTCCCCCACCAGCGCCCCTATTTCAGTGGCAAGGAGCCATGCCTGGGCGTATCACGTGCGTGTTATCTTGGAAATACTGCCAACTCTCCCTCCTGCCCCTGGCCTGCCCCCCCCAGCTCTCCCCAGGGGTCACTCAAACCTGGCTCCTGCCCACGCCTTCCCATTGAACTCTGCTCTCCTGCCAGACCGGCCAGCCAGGATGGGCTCCCTGCGCCCCTCTATGCCCGGGTCCTGCCCATGGCCCACCTATCTTCTCCCACATCACCCAGGCGGGCGCACCCCAGGGCTCAGGGATGCCCACAGAGCACCCACTTCCAGCCTCGTGCCTTCACTGGGCGGACACCTTCTCCCTTCTTCTGCCCCCCTCTGCCCCCCACCTGTTCCGAGAAGTCTCCGCTGGGTGCCCCGACTCTCACAGCCCCCGGTGCTCCTGTCTCTGCTTTCTCGGTTACAAGTCCGTCTCCTCGTGGACCGGGAGTGCTGGATTCCGGGTTCTTTCTGCCCACTGCTCTGGCACGCCAGCTCCCTGCTGCCGCGGGTGCCCCACAGCAGGCATGTCCGCCCACCTGCACCCGCAGGCCCCTCGGAGGCATCCTGGCGGCGGACCCAACTCACCAAGAACTGGACGACATCCTCGGGCCTGTGCTTGGCCGACTTGAACGCGGCCAGCCGGGTGACCACCAGGATCTGGTACTCCACGTGGCCTGACAGCATCTTGCCCCGCACCTCCTGGTGCTGAGGCACGGTCAGGTCGAGGCCCGTGTGGGCATTCTGAACTCGCCTGCCGAAGGGAAGAAGGCAAAGGAGGCTCAGGGTCGAATCAGCAGGCTTCTGGAGGGAAGGGGGCAGGACCCTGAGGTGGCTGGAGCTGTTCCATGAGGCCTTCCGGGACCACTGCTCAGGGCCACCGCCCGGCCTTCCCGGGCCCTCAGCGAACACGGCGCACTACGCTCCAGGGATGTCCCCGGGAGAAGACGGCGCTCATAGAAAAACCACGCAGGGCCGGGACCCCCGCCGGGAGCTGGGGGCCACAGCCTGGTGGCTCTGGGCTGGAAGGCAGTGCTTGGCCCCTTCCGGAGGCCGGAGGAAGATGCCCAACCAGGGGGCTGTCCCAAGTGCCAGGCACAGGTGGTCAAGGTCAGGGACCACTATGCCCTGCCTGCCCGAGACACTGGCTTCTGCTGTCCTGTCTGTCAGACTCTCAACCAAGGAAGGGCTGATGCCCGAGGGGGAGGGGCTTCCCGGGTCAAACTGCAGGGGGGAAGGGGAGGCCCATCCCTCTCTGGAGTCATACTCCGACCCACCAAGTGGCACCAGCCTGCGCTGCCCCTTCCAGAACACCCCCACCTCCACATCAGCACGTGGTGGCCACAGCTGTGCCACGTGGACAGGGAGAGCAGGTGGCCAGCCACTGGCCCTCTGTGCACATGAGTCCCGCCAGGGTGAGAGGCTGCTCCTCTCTGGGGCCCAGGTAAGAGGACTTCAGGGAGGTGTCCCAGGAACTCGAATAGATGCGTGTTCCCGCTGCAGGCTGAGTAGGGCCCTGTGTCCCGGGGCCGCGCACAGGTGTTACAGTTCGAGTGTGGACGAGCAGAGCTGGCCGGAAGTCAGGCTGCCGGAAGCCAGCCCTGGCAGCCCGCTGGAGCGCAGGCCGTTCCGCGGACTCTGTCCATCACGCTCAGTGAAAGCCGACCACCTTCCGATGCCCGTGAGCCCTGTCCTGACGCCCCCTCAGGTCCACCGCTCTTCACTGCATCACCAGACCTGAACCAGCTCCCTTGTTCTAGCCACTCTGGCCTCCTGGCTGGTCTCCAGGCCCTGCCTGCCTGGGACACTGGCTTCTGCTGTCCTGTCTGTCAGACTCTTTCTCAGGCTTCCTCTGCGGCCCCCCGGGGGGCTGGTGGGACGTGTGTGGTGCCCACCGCCAGAGGCTGGCTCAGCACCATTCACTCTCCGTGACTTTTCTCCTGTTTTATTTCCCTTCTTAGCACTGGTCACCCTGGCAGGGGACATGTTTACCTGGTGGCTGCTGTCCAGCTGAGCTCCCTGGAAGGCCCTGCTTTGCCACCGCTGGGATACGGAGAGCAGCTCCAGGCAGAGGAGGCCCAGGAAGCCTCCACAGGACTAGGGGGGCCTGAGGGCCCTTGCTGAGTAGTGGGGAGCTGCGGTGGAAAGCTGAGTAGTGGGGAGCTGCGGTGGAAAGCTGAGTAGGGGCTGGCCTAGGGTATCTGGACTTAGCCTACAAGCCAGCTCCTTGGGCATGCTGGCACCTGCCAGCGGGACAGGGAGAGCCACTCGCCTGGCCCTCCCCGAGACCAGGACAGGCTCCGCTGGGCAGCCTCAGAAGTGGCTGCACCAGAGTGTGTGGGGCTGGGAGGGCCTGCGGCCCGCCTGCACAGACCTGCCGGTCTCAAACCCCTTTTTACAGGAAAGGAAACTGAGGCTCTGGGAGAGGAAGGAGGTGGCGTGCCATCAGGGACACCTTGCATGCCCGTGAAGGTACCACTAAGCGGCACCCGCGGAGGAGCGCAAGCAAGTCTGACATCAGGGGTCACTGAAAGATTATTAGATTTTTCTAGACCTGAGGTCACAGGGCAGCTCAGATTACAGTGAAAAAAAAAATTGGTTAAATAATAAATTGCTTTGTGTGTGGGATCACTGGTGCAGAACATGAGAAACCCTGACCTGACCTGTTTCACGTATTAAAAAAGAGGGCGCGGGAGAGGGCCACCCGCCGGTCGGCCTCTGGCCCGCAGGCGGTCCTCCAGGCCTGGCTCAGACGAGCTCCACCCGCATCCTCGGCCTCGCCGCTGCCCGGGAGGCCCGGAGGAGCTTTCTCCCCTCCTCCTCCTCCGGGATGTGGCCTCCCTGAAGCGGGCTTGGCTCCGGGCGCTGAGTTGCCAAGGCAACGGAACCGGCGGCCCCTCCCCGCACCCTGCCGGCAGGGTGGCATTCTCTACACCCTCCGCCCCCACCCCCAGCACCACAGCCCCGGGGCAGAGCCCCGCGTGCCCGCTCCAGCGCTGAGGGCGGGCTGAACCAGATTTTCCAGAAACGACCTCAAATCTTCAGGGAACAGGAGAGAGCGCCCCCTGTGCGCACGGGGCCGGGCAGGCCAGGCCTCTCCCTGGGTCTTGGGAGAGTTCGTCACCCTGCAGGGGCCTCAGTTTCCCCATCTGTAAAACAGGGCCGCTCTCGCCGCCCACCTCTCCCGCAGGGTGGTGGCAGGGCTGAGCCCCGACAGAGCGCGGCGCTGGGGAGAGGGGACCCCGCCGCCCGCC